TAAGTTTTATTTGCTGTAATTTCTTGTAGATATATGCCTTTATAACTATGATATTCTGACGTTAGTTTGTTTTCATATTTTAGTTTACTTTTAGTAAAGTCAGTTTTGATTTTGGATTACTTAATTTTATTTTCAAAGTTTCAGGTTGGCATTCTTAAAAATACTTTTTGGCTATTAGCACATTAGAGTTCAAAATAGTTGAAGTTATAATAATACCACAAATACACCCAAAAACTCGTAGAAACATAACTTTGCTTTGTTATTTTTGCCGAGAATGATAAGAAGATACACAAGATTGTATATTGACATTTCCTACAAAAGAAGATCTTTTTCGTACTTAGAATACGAGTATTCGTGCAAGCGATATGGGAGCGATAACAACACCCTGCAGTTGATATTATTTGTCAGCGTACCCCAAGAAAAACAAAAACACGCTCGACTGTGCACGCATTACTTTCATAAAATTTATATTATTGTTGTTGATCCAACTTGGCTTTGGGATTTCCTTAGCACACAGTCTCTTGTCATTTTTTTTACATCTATAGTTTTTTTTTAAAGAGACATCTCCCGCATTAGGAATATATCCTGTGTCGCGGGGGACTTTACGAACATTTGAAACGGACACAAAGGACACCCAGACTCAGAACAACAATTTGTGGATCACACAAAGTGTCGTCCCATGTGGGGTTTGAACCCACAAAACTCGCCGTAGTAGGAAGCGGCGTGGCAACCGCTTAAACCACTACGCCATCCGTGCAGTCACTCATTATTATCACTCAATCATCATCACCATTATCAACAATCATTTTAGGTAATTGGTTAGTTTGTCCTAGCTCACGTTCTTCCTGTAGGTACTTAAAACCACAGTGCCGTATATGGCCATAATATGCCGTCGTAATATGTGTTGAGTTTAATACTACAATTTAATTTTTTTATTACTCACTCAATATTAATACAATACTATTTTTTAAGAAAGTTTGGTACAGTTCTCGGTATTAAGAGCACTCTATCGATGTCAGTTTTCCTCTCGTCCGTGTAATTTTATAGCCTCTCTATCCCCTCCCATAATGAATCAAGGCGGTGCACATCAAACGACAAATATCTGTGGCTTGCCTTTTCACAAACTTACTTATACTGCCGGCTGAAGTTCGTATTGAGCTCGCTCTTTCTTTTGTCTTCTTCCTAGTCGTTCCTCACTGCTGCGGATCGTGACTCCCTTTCATCCTGACAACCATCTGGTTCCATCAGCTGCGATCAGTCGCTTGGTGGAGTGCGATACTTATTGGCATTTCTAGCTGTTCACTTTATTTACAAGATTTAATAAACATCACTCTAACTTGCCGTGTAATTTATTTTATTTTAGACCTTAGTGCAACCTATGTATTTATAAAATTGAATCTAAATCTATGTATTTATGAAATTAAAAAGATGACTTAATTTTTTTTTTAATAAAATGCATTTGTAGTATTTATAATAATAAAACTTTTACAAACTACACTTGCAAAGGAAAAAAAAAACATATTTAGTATTTATTTCAGTATCTTATGGGCTACACATTGAAAACAGAGGTTCAGAAAGAGAAAAGAACACTGCTATATTTGCTTGTTTTCTATTCTGAGCAAAAATGATTTTGCTCAGTCGTATTTCATTCAATTGTTAACAACTTATGTCAACTCATGATCCATTATAACTCCTAGCGTTTTCTACTTTACTATTCATTATTCAGACAATATGAGCCATTTTTTAGAGCTAAATAATATGAAATCATTTCATGGTTTCTAAATATTTGAGAGACGTTTCTTCTACGCGCTACACAGTACATTGATTCTCCTGCCTAAACAGGTGTAAATAATTTATAGAGTTATCTATAACATTATTCACGTTATTTTCAGCTTGCTTCTAAAGTAAAGGATTCCCATGTTGGTTTTAAATTTTTGTCGTGCTTTCCTATAGCTGCCATTTGCAAAAAAAAACCAGAATAAGTTGATTATCGATTAATAAATACAACTCTTTTCGATCCAATCATTTTATTATGCTTTACAATAAATTCATTATACAATATTGACACCATTATTCGAACATTGTCATGTTATATCATTTTATATACAAATATTATGTCTTTTCCTTACCATATATTTACATTATTTAATACCTGTGTTAAACGACTAGATATTTTATGTTCTATTTAAGTCACAACGTTAAAGAATATTAAACATCCTAAAGTGTCGTATAATCTAATAAATATGACTATTTGTTGGTGTAAAATAAAAGATTTACAAACTGAAAACTCTTAAACAATATAGTTATTGTATATTAATACTAAAATCTGCATGAGTTGATGACCGCAACTCAACCAGGTGACATTTTTAAATGTATCTTCCTTATATATATTTCTATACATAATGTATGACATTCTTGAGTACATTAAATTATCTAAAAAACCTATAACAAAGACTAGACTTTGTGTTTAATGTAAAACAATTTTATCTATATCGTAATGAGCAAACAAATAATTAGAGAACATGATATGACATCCATTTGGACGATTACATAAAGTTTTAATAAAAATTAATTGTTTTTTCTGAAATGTAACATTAATGGAGTCACATTAATACGTCTCATAATATTTTTTATATGATTTGTATACCTGTATAACCCTGGAAGGGTTTAATGTTTTTTTGTTTTAATTTTTCGGGACGCATTTTGGTGAAAGGGAGAGTGGAAACTTATTGGCCTTTGAAATACCTTTCAAACATCTGAAAGTTACTATTGAAAGCTTCGACACTCTTTTGCGTATTTGCTTACTATGAAAGTTATAAATATCAGTATATTTAAAAAAAGTCCTGAAATTCAAACTAAAGTGTTATCTAGAACAAAAATACAAAAATTAATTAAAGAAAACTAAAACAAACAAATGAATTGCAGTAGGATTAATTATCTACATTCAATAACAACTAAATATCCCACTAACTTATACTCACAGCCTATGCAAATGCCAACTTTAAGATTGGAGTGAGACAAGTCTCATAAAGAACCTCACTAAATTAAATAACAACATATAAGTGAAAGAGAGAGAAGGAAAACTTGACACAAACCCTATACCAACCCGTCTGGCCAGCGTGGTACAGTAGGCCAAAACCTCCTTTCTAAAGAGAGGCTTATGTCCAGCAGTGGACTGTTAAAGGCTGTTGATGATGATGATATAAGTGAAATAAAAAAAAACAGAGGCAACTAACATGATTTTAATATTAATTTGCAAAAATACAATGTTGGGTTGACTCTCAAGAATAATTAAAACTAAATTGCAGTCCGCTTGTAATTTTCCAAAATACAAATTCAGTCACGAAAACATCTTCCAAGAATAGTATGAGAGTAGTTTGTAAGACTCCGATTACAATTCGTCTTATTATATTAACTATTAGTAAAAAAAAAAAAACAAAAAACAACACCGAATTCAATGCGCCTACAACAATTATAATAGGCCGATGATAAATTACGAGTCTCCATCCGTTAGTTTTCTATTCTAAAATGTTTTAAACAAAAACAAAAATCACACAAAAAATATTGTGAATTAAAACCTTTTGAAGTCGGTTACATATCACATTTGTTAGAATTTTCTTATCTTCAAAAGACAAACAAACACATTTAAGTTAATACTAGTAAGAATTAAATGATATGTATAACTGTATGAGTATTTAAGCACTACATATGTGAGCGTAGTTATTAATGTTTTTAATATACTCCAAACATAGAGAATCTGTGTGGTGACGGATTAAGAATATGGAGTGACAGCACCCCTATTCATTTCATGACTGTAATCAGGACAACATCACTGCAAAAAGAAGGAAAACTTGAAACAAACCCTATACTAAACCTGTATGGTCAGTGTGGTATAGTAGGCCCAAACCTCCTTCCTTAAAGGCTGTTGATGTGATATGTGTGATGATGTCGAACATTAATAAGAAGATTGTCATATTTATCAAAGGTAAAGCGTTTCGCTCATGTATTTGTTTCGGAGATGCCTGACTAATTCCAAACCGGCAGGGGCACTTTTCTCTTCATTCTTGACTTGACTGATCTTGATTTTAACTCTTCTGTTTTATATACCATCTGGTTTAACTTATGTAAAACCATTATCTTCAATTTAAAAAAATACCATTCACGACAGTTGATAGACTAAACAGTTATTAACTACGAATTTCAAATAAAAAGGGACGTACCAACGTTTTAACTAACTTTAACAATAAAATCTTTATATGTTACCCTACAAACTGAACGTTTATTAATTCCTTAAAAAAACTATTAACTGTTTATTTAAGAACAACAATCGCTGTAATATTAAATATTAATGCAGTCCTTTTCACGTAAACTGTTATCGCCAATTTAAAATATAGAAATTTATAAAATATACTATGATAAATAAATACATTTCGTTTCAGCTTTTGGCGCTAGGAAAAGTTACCTATTTATAAAACTGGAGATTAAATTAAATGTTTTGATATGAATTGTACTGATACATAAATAATCGATATGCATACATTAGGTGATGTAATGATTGAACTAAGTCTGACAAATATGTTTCTTTGCGTTGAGTATAAAATAAAGGATCAAGACTCAGAAGATGTGACCATTATTAATAATATAATATACACTTTACGACGGGCATAAGAAAAGTTTATCCTTAACTAATTATTTTGTGCACTTTTTGTTATGGTACATTTTTTGTCATTATGTTATAAGAATATTAAATTAACTTTGTATAAAATATCAGTTTAGTCACATTCAACTCGTCTATAACTCTTACACTATAATTGTTTAGTATTAAAGATACTCATAATTATATTATTAAAGAAAACCCATCGATAGTTACTAAAACCTAAAAGCGTAATACTTAAAGCTTTTTAGTGAGTTTATACAAATTGAGATCGGATATTTCTATTTACTGAGAGCGCCCCGAGACCAGGATCTGAAGATGGACGAACACGCTCCCAGGGCGCAGGCTACCTTCCCGATCTAAAATACTGACACAAAAGCACCCTCTTGAATGCCTGTCTGAAAATTTTATTGAATATGGTGTAAAAAATAGGATTCACCATAGAACTAGCATACCCTAACCATAGAGCACAGTCAAAGACCCAGGGTGGTATGTTTTCTTCACAGGTAGGACATAAGATCGGCACCATATTTAGGACAAAAAATGGGGCCCAGAGAATTACAAAAGTGAAAAAAACGACACCTAAAACTTTTGTAGCTTTTTGCTCCAACCGTAGAATTCTGCCATGGCGGGAGGAATTTCTGGATATAACACTAGAATTTCTTGAGTGATGCGTCCTAGGTGTCTGGCGCTGAGAACTAACAGTTATTTGGGGAGATCTATTAACAGACCTCTGAGAACGAATACTTCGAACTGGAGTTGATAAAGTTGTTCTAGCTCCACCGAAACTTGATCCTCTCCGCCGTGCTTCATCCCAAGTCACCATAGATGTGGCACCACGACTTGATCTTCTAAAGAAAGGAGTAGCTGGTTCATCTTTCATATTACCGTTTCGAGGAAACCCGTTACATGAGTTTATATCGCCTCCAGGAACTATTATAACTTCCGTCGTGCGTCTTGGAGGAGTCGAATCTGTCCCAAAATATGGGCAAGTACAAGGTGGTGGTAGCAAGAGGCCATCCTCAGAGCTTCGTGACTTAGCTGTCAAATTCGTTGGAGCCAGTAAACCTTCATTGTTTTCATCATCGGAAGCACTCCTCGGTCGGTGAGGCGGTGTGCTATGTTCTCCTACGGATGATGGTCGGCGTCTTTCCTGAAGCATCGATGATGGTGAACTCGAAGTTATGCTCAACGAACCGGGAGTAAGTATACCACGGTCCGGTATGTTTGTCCTGTAAACAATAAATAAGTTAAATCGATATTTTGACTATAATGGAAATCCTCCATCATTTGAGCAGCCAATTACCATAACGGGTTAATTTTGAAGCGAACAAATAATGCCAATTAGTATATACCCTCTGTTTGGTGGCTTTGATGCCGCAGAAGCTTCCAAGCCGCGAGAAAGACGCAACATCTCGGCACCAAACTGATGCAGTGCTGTCATTGCTGACGGAGCGGGCTCGCTGTGCAACACAACACATAATGTATGAGGACTACACACTGACGAACACATGGGAACATTGATCTACATTTAACACATAGAACTGAACAGTACATTAATGTATGAAAAGCAAGCTTTGAACGATAATGATGGACATATTTCAGTTAATTAAACATTTAGAGTGACGTTGAACATGCACAATGACGCTTAACAATAAAATCATATTTAAATTTTGCAGCCCCATTTGGTGACATTAGATTCATTAAATTTTTCAGATTAATATACTCTGATTGATTACGATGCATATTTTGAGTAATAGCTTTATTTATCAATTTCATTTTAAGTAGTAAATTTAAAATCAAGATATAGATAAATAGGTACGATCCAGAGGGAGAAGCTGCGATGGTTTTCTTTCTACTTTTATCTTTATATCCTTTTTTTAGTTCTCTAACAGCATAATGTAGTAAAATAGACAATTGAAATTTAATTGGAAAAGTTCTAACAACGTTTCTTATTATTTCTGTAACATGTTCTATAAAAATAAAAATGAATTAAAATGCCTTAGAATTAATTAAAATTTTCTTAACAAATATTTTAAGTAATAAATTTAAACTTTGTTTTTCTTCTCATTGATGAAATCTTAAATGCAACCGAGTGTTTTAGTTTCTTTAGTCTTATAAAAACCTCAGTAATATATCGTGGCTATGCAGTTTTAAATTACCATCACGACGTTACAGTTGAATTAATACCTATTGTACTATTAACAGGTAACTTTTTTTTTTTTTATTAAATACTCAGAGGTCATTTACCTCCCAAAACTTCATGTCATACGTATGAATAATGACAGAAACTCAAAAGTCGTTTCATTTTACGAATATTAAATTAAAATGTCAATGGAATTCCGTTAACTGTCAAATTAATATTTCTTAAGTTTCAGTAAAATGTACATACACTTTAAATGTTTATGCTAATAAAGTAGGATTGGCAATTCAAATGATAGGATTTTTGGATTGACGAAATTGAACGGCAATGAAATGGAGAACGGGGGTGACGAATGACGGCTTTTAAGACTATTTGTGAAAAGTAAATCTTTGTCAATTTATACAAAAAGGGTATATATATATTATATTGTATTAAGTATTCCGTCTTTAATCTCTGCTAACAGATCCATTTCTTCACTTTATAATTTATAAAAGAGAGCTATTGGATAGAAATGTTACAAAACGAAAAAAAACAGAACTAAAGAAACATAAAAATGATCACTGAGATTTTATACCATAACTAAATAATTGTTCCCAAATACTAAAAGAGCTGAATTATATTAGTTAGGACCCTCCGGGTGTAACACGATTTTTCAATGTTTATTGGTTATATAGTTATGTGCAAACATACAATTATTTCTATTAAACCGAAAGCGTAAGTAGAAGTTCGTTGAATATCCGCTTTTTTGTTGTTGAATAATATGGTCTCACTTTTGCAAAGGAATGGCAAAAGAAGAAAAATTATAATATCGCTTTTACGAACAAAACGGGATGAGATAAGGTTCTTATTCTTGAATCTCGAAGTAATAGTTTTACAAATAAGCAACAAGGTTTAAATGTAATACAAATAGATAAAAGAAAATACATGCAACAAATCTTTAGTAATATATACAATATATAATATATATAATATGCCATCTTAAGCGTGCATATATTGCCCAGTGGCGTCCCTATTATTACTTTAAACAGTAACAGCTATTTATACAATAACAGTAACAACATTATTACTATTATTAAGTATTTAAAGGACTTCAGTAAACGGTCACGACAAATGCCGATCAAGAGAAATCAGAGTTTGATTATACTTATTTTATTGAACTAAATATTTTACATAACACGACACGACGATTACATATAAAACAGGGAATAGAGCAACAGTGATATGTTCGATCGTAAAAGCCCACATACCATTAAAATTAATAACACGTGTCGTCAGTGCTATATCAGTAAGTGATCAGTGATTAATACGACCTCCGACACATTTAAAACGGAATATTGATTTTTATAGTGTCATCGAGGCGTTATTCTTGTAGTTGTATGTAAAGAATGGTTCGTATCACGATGAAAATACTGCAAGTAGTGATCGCGAAAAACTCAACAAGCTCTAGCAAAATTATTGAACAATATAATTACACAACATTATTTATCGATTTTCGAGGGTTATCGATTGCAACATTAACTGTCCGTCCGAAATCAAAAGTAGAAAATTGGACTTTAAAAAGTCGTTATGAGTTTTAATACGGTCTTAAAATGTTTATATTGATGAGAGAGTCAGACAAGCACAAGAAGAAAATGTAAATAGATCTTGACACCAGAAACAAAGCTCCTACATAGTTATTTACCACAAATTATATTCAGATATAACTCGTGGTAAAGAATAAAATGAAGCCGCAATGACGACTGGAAATATTTTTAGACATGAAATAAAGTTTAATTTGTGTTGTATCTGTGGTCATTTAAACCTATTACTGGCATTCTCGTTTTTGTTAAAATGATTAAGATACCCATCGCGCAGTTTAGTTATTAATGGATTTGGATTAATTTAAGGCTGTAGAGATATTGGATTAATTAATCTACGGCTTGTTAGAAGAAATTGAAACAGATTTGATATAAAACCATAATAGAAAACTTGACCTTGGATCTCTTGAGTTGACCTGGCTGGAAAAACAGAAAACCAAGAAATAGACTTACTTTTACCAAAAAAAGCGGGCTTGGACCCTCAAGTCAGTCCCAGCCAAGGTCATTGCCCACTCAAAGGCCGTGGGAGACCCAATACCAGGCATTTTAATGGCTTATGCTTTATTCTTTTTATTTTAAAAAGAAACCGTCAGGAATACATCCTGTATCATATATGAAAACATGTAAACATACATGAAACGGACCCATATAACATCCAGCCTTCAGAAGAACAGTTTGTGAATCACACAAAGTGTTGTCTCATGTCTGGATCGAACATACGACGCAGGAAGCGTTGAAATGACCGTTTAAACCGCTACGTCATTCATGCAGCCATGGCTGGCGCCACCAACAACGATTACCAAACGAAGACAGCGTCGATGAAGTAAGTCTTCACTAAAGTTGTCATCCCATCAGGCGAAGGACTTGAAAGTCAACATCAACGGAACAGAATTGAAATCACACCGATCCTGAGCAAAGTATATATATGGTGAACCGCTGGCCTCTCGGTAACGGTTCGCTTCCCACACAATGAAGGACCAATTCGCGATTACCGACTCATAGTGATGAACTGTCAAAAGTACCACTATTAGGAACAAAGATCTCTGAGTAGTTTTCTGATCCACACACAGCTAGGCAGGCAAATGCACAAAAAATCCTCATCCTGGTATACGATAAATATAATATTACAAAAACGTTGTAAATATTACAAAAACCAATCTACAAGAATAGTTTTAAAGCCATTAGGTATAAGCTTTCACTTAGTTATAGTGCATTGCTAACGATGCTATCAGTAGATTGGCAGACTTGTTTTTATTAAAGTATATTCAATGTAAAGTACATAAGACATGCCTTAATTTGTGTCGTACCCATCTGTTATGTTTACCTTAGTTGATTTAATGGGTAGGTAAACCTTGTCCCACATTATAAATTAAAATTAAAGAATATTACATTCTAGTTTTGCCCATGGCTGCTCCCGCGTGTATATCGGTTATTTTAGTAAAAAGTAGCCTAGGTTCTCCTAAAGAATCAAAGCATCTCCATGGAAAATTTTAAACAGACGACTCCCGCATTTTTTTAAACAGACGACTCCCGCATTAGGAATATATCCTGTGTCGCAAGGGACTTTACAAACATACATGAAACGGAAACAAAGAACACCCAGACTCAGAACAACAATTTGTGTATCACACAAAGTGTCTATAAAAGTTTATAATATTAGTAGCGAAGTAGGGATTAGACTTAGAATATAACTTAGTTCCATGTAGGAATCTGTCTCTTTTTAATTATTCAACATTTTAATCGAATAATACCGGTCACCTAGAAAGTATACAGGTCTCGAAAACTTAATAATAACATCTTAAATTTAAAATATTTTTGTACACAGTAAAAAAATCTATTATAATGCATATTCAGCTCAGTTAATTTCAAACTTTAATTAAATAAGTTTGTTAATGCTAATTTATAACTTTTTAGTAAAACTGTTTACATAATGAAGTTTGAAAACTTTGGAATGAATATTTCAATAAAAAGTAGTATTTTATTATTTGCTGTTGCCCATGTAGTTCTGGAATGCCCGTTGTGTGGCCACTCCCTCGAGGTACAAAATCGCTCCTAGAAGTATGTGAACGCCCCAGGAGGCTTCTGCCCTTGTGGAAGGAGCATATTTGGCTCACCTAGCCAACATCTTCTAGATGCATAAAGGACCACTTTCGAGTCTAAATGCGGAAATCGGAGCCCACAACCAATACCAATATTTTTTTTGTGTAAGAGGTTGTTTGGTGTGGATGTCTTAAGAATTTCAATATTTAAAAATTGATATTTTTTGCACAGTAGGTAATCGTAACGTCGGTACCTGGCAAAGCATAATATACTCGTATATTAGCTTAAAAAGGCAAGAATAAAACCTTTGGAAGTTAGGAACAGTTATCTAACTCTCTATATTATTTAACCAATAGATTAACCTCTCCGAACAATATGATTCTCGAAGCACATCCAAACTAGTATGAATTCTTGAAGCTTAATAAAATTAACACAATATTTAATAGTAAAGCAATTTCACCCTTGGAACGTCAGTACTTCTGAAAGTCAAATGATATCAGGTCTAGATAAAACTACAATAATCAAACTAAAATGAAAAATCAATAATATTAACCCGGCAACGTATTTGGGCCACTGGTTCACCGATACAATAAAAGTTGGATACCTAGATGCGAGAGATAAATTACTAATTATGTATTGAACTCTAATGCAGTTGTTATAATGTAATTAATGTTACAGGATTTCATTAAGTGTGTAATATTTTGTAACTAAGTGAATATGAGTAAGCACGTAAGCATTTAAATGTAAAAAATTAGATATCTATACTATAATATCAAATCAGATATTTGTTAAGTCACATATTCAAGTTACGTGTAAGTGTAAGTTTCTTGTGTTTTCGTATCATCCTTAAAAAAAGTTAAGATGCGTTTTTTTTTTTTTTTAACTTTATTTTCACAAATATTACTTGACTAGGAGGGAGGCTCTTGGTGAACATACAGCTCTATACTGCGAACCAGCAAAGATACTCTAATATTTTTTTTATGGAATAGGGGGCATTTCTTGACGGTCGTATCGGTCAAATTATTTAATTGTTTTTAAATCCAATATTGCTTCAACTCTGAATATATTGCTTTACTTTGTTAATTTTTAATTTTTTTAATGTAATAGATAGTCAATGACTTTCAGTATCAATTGATTCAATTTGAGTTAACTTATTTGTGAACACAGGGTCCATTTTTATTAACCATAAATATCTAAACCACAATGGCGTGCAAATTTTAAAAATACATATACCATAAAATAACAATGAAAATAAAGATTAAATATCAAAAGTTAGTAAAGTAAACAATTTTTGAACTGGTATACGATACATTAATGTTGTCGCACCCTTTTTAGGGATGATTCATTTTAGACCGGGCCGGAGCCAGGCCGTGCCCCGGCCGGAGCACTGTGAAATATCTATAGTATACTTTTATATGAACTAATTTATGTTACAGTCAACGGAGCCCGGTCCAGGCCGCGGCTGGTGTGTGGCAATGCGTGGCGTCGAAATATCGGTGGGTTATTCCGACCCGGCCACGATACGTTTAAAAGCTAATTCATGTTACAGCAGTGTAATATTAATCACCCTTATGCTTCGTTCGAATTAAGAATTTTAATGTTTTCACAGTGTTTGGGGGCTATTTTTTTTTAATATTCTAATCTTCTGTCACACGTTTAGAATATTACTTAAATACTCTATTTAACTTTTATTTATGAAATACCCGGTGTAATAATTATAATAAAATTATATTTTAGGACATCTGACACACTACGCCATCTAGTTTTAGACTAAGCAGAGCTAGTAATATGAAAGCAAGATTGACTAATACTTATATACTTTTTTTTTGTAAATACATACATATTTTACATAGAAAACACTCAAAATCCGAAACAAATAATTGCAGATCGGGACCCGGGAATCGAACACGAGACCTCACCACAATAGTCACATACGCTACCACTGCACCATTGTGCCAGTTAGAATTGAAACTAAACTTTTACTTTGTATCTATTTTATAAGTTTATTGCTTTGTACCTACACAATATTAATAAATTATGCGTTTAATTTTCCTATCCATGTTGCAATTTATGCGCCTTAAGGAAGCGTATTCACATAACACTTTGATAATCAACCGACAAATCCAGGCGTGAATTACCTGCAGTGGAATATTGAATCTGACTACCCTTAATTAACGATTTAAAGAGGATTATGTCTATATTTTAAACAGAATATATTTTAAGGTCGATGAAAAATATTGACGATCCCTTAAATTGAAGTCTCATTAATCAAGTAGAAAGCATGTTTACTCCATGAATTTTCATATAAATTCTATATGCTGTTTAGAACGACAAAGGTATTCTTATCAGTGAAGAGTTACGGAACGACTCTATTCAATTTCATAAATGAATTCTGAGCACTTTCGTCACCTAAAACTTGATATCGGATATTTGATATGAAAAACCATTCGTGAGGTCGAATATTTTAGGTTTTCGGGTTCCATTTACGCCAAGGATAATGTAGGCGTTTAAGGAGTTACAATTTTAGGGATACGTTAAAAAAAATATAAAAAACGGCGTGCGGGGTCTATGGTCCCCCGGTCGGAACAAAGTTACTTTCGCTTTTTTGGTAGACGTTTGCTAAACAGTCATTATAATTTATATCATAAAATATCAAGTTCATCAACAACCTTCACTAGTCCACTGCTGGACATTGGCGTCTCCTTAGAAAGGAGGTTTTGGCCTACTATACCACGCTGGCCAGACGGGTTGGTATAGGGTTTGTGTCAAGTTTGCCTTCTCTCTGCAGTGCTGTTGTCCTGCGTTGTTTGCTCCCTTAGTCGGCTCTTACGACACCCACGGGATGAATAGAAATTTTAAGAAAGTTAAATTCAAATTTTAAGAAAAAAAGTACTTTAACATATCTTTCGGACTCGCTCCCTTCCGCTCAGAGCGTGTAACTTCGTTCTAAAATAGTTCTTTTTATAAAACAAAAGGGCGTGTTTTAAAAAGATATCTTTATTATCATCAAAGTTTTCTGACTATGTTATGTGTCTTTTTATGTTAATTCTGAGAAATCCAACAGGCAATCCTCAAGAAACTCAGTCAAGCTTTTTTCTTAACATTCTCCTAACTCTTGTGTCCCCGAGGAGCGGGCGATTCGAAGGGGTTTCCTCTCTGTCACCAAAAAAGAAAAATGCAGAATATATTGTCCCCTGTTACCGGGGGATAAAATTATGGTCAGAAAAATGTGTACATAAGTAATGTCTCTGTCTTATCTTTCAGGGTACGTACATGTTTTCGTGCATATGTGATATATTCGTGCATACAAGTGTATGTTTTTGTACGTAACATAATAATAGGGGTTAAAGTATGAAATTGCCATTGTATAGTAATAGACACTTTAAATTAACATAAAAACTTCATGGTGTGATATTGTCGATTGTCGATTGAGCGTGAGATTTTCGTGTGAAACTTTTTTCACATGATACCTATGAGATTCGATTTTCGAATTTCAATTTTTTTT